AATCAAATATTTTAGTTCAATGGACAATAATATTGTAATACATCGCAAGATATGAAATTATTTTAAATTAATAGCTAATATTAAACATTTCATATGTTTTCCTTTTTGTATGAATTGTTTGGTATACTTGATTTTACAACAAATTAAATATTACATAGAAATTTGTATTATATAGTTTCAATTTTATTTCAATTTTATTTCAATTTTATTCCTATTATTTTGGAATGAAAACTAATTTAGATAAACGGATATTCGTGAGGAGAAACTTAACAAGTTTTTACCAACAGAGGTTGGCTCAAGTGGTAAGCAGCTTGTTGTCGCTTAAGCAATGTCTCGGGTTCGAGTCCTTGTTGGTGTAGAAAACTCTTGTTGGGAGACTCAACCACCACTGTCAGTTGTGCGACCCGGGTCGACCAACGGATAGTCGGGGCATAGCTCCGGATACCGCGATGGGCTACAAAAAAAAAAAAAAAACTTAACAAGTTTTTATGGAATATATTTAATTAATTAATGAACTATTACAACACCCGTGTATTACACTGTATTACATGGGTGCTTGCTAATTTCTTTTTTTTCTTAAAATCTAAAATCAATGAGAAAAAGTAGTTTGAAAATTTAAATACCTTTTATAATATTATATATATTATTATATATTTATTATGATACTTTTTATTTGTGCAACTTATTTGTGTTAAATTATACTGATTTTTTTAACTTACAATATGTAACTACATTATATATAAATATAGCAATTGAGAAATAATTTTATTTTTCTAATGAATTTTAATAAATATTATTACAAAGATAAATAAATTTATTTATTTCATATATACAATATGGATGTCAAATCGAAGATAATCAAAAGATGATTAATTTTATATATTATATATGTAAAACCGATAAGAAATACAAAAGTTATCAATTTTTAAAATACATTTATAATTCAATAGCTTATTGAAAGAAACAAATCAAAATTCAGGGATATATTAGTCACTTAGTGTCTCACTATGTAAAATTACAAAAAATTAAAGGGTTATATTAGTAAAAGTGATATTAAAATATCTAAGTTAGCTAAATAATATTTATGGAATACCCGAATCTAGATTATTAATTATTAATATATCAATATTATTTATCCAAACCTAATTACGAAGCATGATTCTTTGCCAAATAGGATTTCAAAGTACCAGAAGCAGCCACGTAAGCTCAGCGCATTTAGAATTATATATAGGGAGGATGTTCCAGCTAAAACCTTTTATATTTCTGGATTCCTTAAAAAATACAAAATAATAATAATAATAATAATTACGGGTGTGCAAAAGGAAGATAATACTAGTATTGGAAATGAACTGAACATACTAAAATTCGTTCCTTTGTTAATTACGTTGAGCTCGAACGAAAACTTAAGTTGTTTTTTTTTTTTTTTGGTAAAAAAAAGGAGGCGAGTGTCTTAGATTACGATATTACGTGGGTGAGTTATCCCTAGAATATCATGTTCAAGCTACAGTTTCACTTCGTGGGAGGATCGTCAAGTATGTGAATTCCGCCCGACATGGTCGATGCTAGAAATGCAAGATAATTCGCTGCAAAATTCACTTCACAACGGATATTCCGAATCTCAGTTATCCATGGTCGATATTAGTTGAACAAATGTGAACATGTCACCTTCGCAAACAATAATTTAATATTTATTTCATATATATATAAACTTTTAATAAAATTTATAAAAGTTAAAGATATATATATTTATATTATTCGATTTTTTTAATTTCTAGCTTCAACAATTTTGAATAATCAAATTCGAATTAATCAAACAACTTTAGCAACATTATTCACTAATTTCTTACGAACAAATTAATTAAATTTAGCAACATTATTCATCAATAATTTCTTACAAACAAATACAAGCTCATCTACATAAATAATTCAAAATTTCACCCATAAATGCCTCAGTAAATAATAACAGTAAGTTTTCAAAATGTAACGGAGAGAGTTTATTACACGCACCTTTTCATACACAGCCACCGCTCTTTCAGTCAGATATTATCAGTTTATCACCATTTTAAAATTATTATTATTAATTATTATATTTATCAATTTTCACACACAAACACACACTTTCAGCAGAAGTTCAAAGCACAAATTCAACAGTTGCTGAGCGATGAGAAGACGAAGCTATCGATCGCTAACTGTTTTTTAAGCAGCATTAATTTCTAATAATATGGCAGTTTTAGCCATAAATTGCAGTCAATATTAGTTTCAGTTGCAGAAGGTTCGCGGTTTCGTAACGTAAATCCCCATTTGTCAAGTGTTTTGGCTGAGGAAAAGTTTGAAAAAATCAGGGTTTCTGGAGATTTCTGAGTGCAAATTGGGGGAAAAAGGGAAAGTAGAAAAAAAGTTATGGGGTTGATATCGGGATTAGTGATGGGGATGCTGACAGGGATCGTGTTAATGGCTGGATGGAGCTACATGATGCGCCACCGGAGCACGAAGCGTGTTTCTAAGGTTCGTTTTATTGCTAGGTTTTGAGTTTTGATACTTAGCCCTTTGATTCGTTGCCTTGATTGATTGGTTCTGTGGGTTTTGAGTTTTCTAAGGTTCGTTTTAATGGTTGTTGTTTTGTTTGTGCGGGCAGGCGGTTGACATT